CCCCCCTATTTTTATTGGAGATGTTAAGATGTGGATTTAAATGTCTTTCAATACAGCCCTAGATCCAGGCTGCACAGCAGTTGGTGAAAGTGTCAGTTTTCATGGTGAGCAGTAAAAACTTGACTGAGGTTTCCCACCAGATAAGCCAATGGCTTAAAGTTAGGTAGACCTGGGTGCTGTTCTACTGGATGCTGGGAACTGGACTTGGCACCTCCCACACCTCAGCCAAGAGATCTGGTCTGGCAGCTGCCTTCCATGTTGGAGACCTTGTAGTCCATGACTCAAATTCTTCCTCTGCATGACAGGGGTCAAAACAGCCCTTATCACTATCAAGAGGTTCTCCAAGAGATTAGGAATATGTTGTGGTTGGAGATTATTTTCTGTCCTGTTTAATCCTGGAGACAAAACTAGGAATCTCTAACTGGACTATGGTCCTGGTAAGCAAAGAACTTGGTTCCAGTCAGCGTTCCAAGGTTTTTTAAACATCCTGTGAGGTTTGGCACCCTGACGTAGGATTTGTAAACATGTGATGTTGGTGAGTAAGAAACCAATATCTGCTGCCAAAACAGGTGGGGAAGGACATTAGAAAGACAAAGTCCCTTACCTTGGGGAAAGGGATCTTCACAGCTCTGGTCAACCTCCACTCAGCAGCAGTTCACAGTAGCCTGGTGTTACCTGAGGAGGAGCTTTCATCTTGAGACTATACAGAGGAAAAGGACAAATACCTAGCTTGTGATTATGACAGACTGAAGTTAACAAAAATAAAATCATTTTTTCTTACTTTGTAAAACTGAGTGCTCCAAGAGTGCATTTCAGGCTGACATCAGTGTTCATTAGCAAGAAGAACACAAGGACAGATGTAAACAAGACAGCTGTCTTCACCTGAGAACTCTCTCACTTATTAACATGCTTATCTGATCGCTTTTTTTGTTGGGATGGTACCAAGAAGGCTATCTGACCATAGTAAACTGTAGAGCACTGAACTGCCAACAAATTACATGATTGCTTGGAAAATCTTTAATTTAAATAGAATAGACCAAAGATGAAGGAGAAGGCCAACATCCTTATCCCATGTCACTGGTTTTGCTCTTTAACCTTGTCTTCTCCACAGCTGGATCTAATGCCTGTCTTTTTCTGCACGTGCCACTCAAAAGAGACCATGTAATATTGTGTGACTTCCATGTGTGGGTGGGTGTAGCCTCTCTCATGCTGCCCTGAAATCAGCCCTTACCAGCTGGTGTTTTGCTGTCAGCAAAGGTCTTTCTGGATTGCACTATTGAAGAGTCTGCAGTCTTCACTGTGTTTCTTTCCTTGGTCCCTGTGCCTCAGACACATTTTAGAGAGTGACTTCCCATGATTTTGACCAGCACCCAACCCATTAAACCTCAGTATTGCAAGTGCTCTTTGTATGAAACAGTATGTAGGAAAATATAATCCATGTTGTGGAGCATCTCACATGAAATGAGGAAAATGTGGATGAGCTGGAGGGGGAAGATGCCTTTAATACAAGCAATTTGAGGTAGACATGACCTATGCCAAATTCCTGGAGGAATTTCTTTTAGAATTAGATAAGATAAGAAATTAGAAACCCTGATTAGATTAGATTTAGAAATCCTGTCAGTGAGGACTTTCTAGATAACCCAGAGCTTGCTGAGGGCCATCAGGGATGGAAAATACAATTTAGTCTCTATCATATGGATGCTTTTCTAGTCCTTAAAAATTATTTTAATGTAAGAGTAGCCCTTCAAGACCATGCTACCTGGGCCAGTATGTAGACTGAGCAGTTATATTTTACTTTTCAACTCTGTCTCCAGCCCAGATAAGGGGCTTTGGTAGTAATGGAGTGATTTCTAGCTGCTGTAAATGTGAGGGGTTATTTGAATTGCCAAGCTTACTTTAGATGATGAGCTGATGAGGAAGAACTATAGTGCAATTATAAACAATCATATAGCTAACATCTACCTAGACCACTGACCTGGAGACACTGCTGAGATCATAGCCAGACCCCTAGCAATATGTTTGCAAGAAAAAGACAATTAATTACAGACTGATTGGCTCAGTTAGGAGGATTAAAATATGCCTCTTTATACAGAAAAAGACCAACTTAATTATCTCTGTTACACAGGATAGTTGTATCTGTCTAATGGCCTCTGATCCTTCCTGAAGGGAAAGATGGTTTACTGTTTGCTATTTCAAATTTTCTGTTGAAATAACCTGGAATCATTAATCCTGCTCTTATTTCCCTTTCTTTCTCTCGAAGTCAAGAATAATTAAAAAATATACTTGTCCAGATATTTATATATGAAGTTTTACTGAAGAAAACCATATTCCAATTTATATATCCATAATTTTAAACAGACATTACATACATTACATGTATCAATGTATGTATTAATTTACATCTATATACAAATATATCTGTATATAGATATAAAAGTACAAAGCCTAATATATACATACATACAATATATGTATTTTTATACAAACACACTCTCACAGGTGCATCATCCACACTACCATCCTGATACTCACAGTAGCCTATGAGTATCCCCTGAAAGAAAACACATGAAGAATTGCCATAAAGACATGCTGAAAGTCACCTTTCAACAATGCTCTCTTTACCAGAGTAGAGTACAATGGCAGAGTAGAGTGGAAAGATGGACTCTTGTGAATGAACTATTGCAGTGATCTCAGGCTCCTCATAGGGAGATTTTGCATGTGAGATCTCTCCTTTCTCTTGCCAATAAAGCCTGTAAAAACGAAAGTTTATCAACAGCACTTTATTGAAGTTGCAGGTGAACCCATGCCAAGGGCAGGGAAGAGTAGAGGATCTGAGTATGTTTTAGACTATGGATCACAGCAAGAAAGCAGAACACCTGGCAGATTTATAAAAAAATTGATAATGTACATTATGGAATAGAGTCAGACTGAGGCACAAGCCCGTGGAGCATGTATGAGGTTGGTCAGTTTGAGCTTATGGAGAAAGCAAAGTGGAAGGAACCCAGTGAAAGTCAAGAGGGACAAGTTCATGATCCTGTACCTGGGGAGGAACACCCAGCAGAGGCTGGGGGTGACCTGCTGGGAAGCAGCTCTGTGGAGAAAGACCTGGGTGTCCTGGGGGACACAAGCTGTCCATGAGCCAGCAGTGTGTCCTGGGGGCGGATCCTGGGGTGCATTAGGAAGAGCACTGCCTGCAGGTCAAGGGAGGTGATCCTGACCCTCTACTCCACCCTGGTGAGGCACATCTGGAGTGCTGTGTACAGTTCTGGGCTCCTCAGGACAAGAGACACATGGAGGTCCTAGAGGGAATTCAGAGGAGGACTATGAAGGTGGTTGAGACTGGAACATTTGACTTATGAGGAAAAGCTGAGGGAGCTGGGCCTGTTCAGCCTCAAGAAGAGATGTCTGAGATGAGACCCTATCAATGCATACAAATACCTGATGGGAGGTTGTTGAGACAATAGAGCCAGGCTCATTTCAGGGCAAGGGCCAGTGGGCATAAACTGAAACACAAGAATATCTTTATTAAGATGAGGAAAATCTTCTATATTTTGACAGAGCACTGGAACAGACTACTTGGGGAATTTGAGGAGTCTCCTCCTCTGCAGATGTTCAAAACCCACCTGGACACAACCCTGAGCAATCTGCTTTAGATGAACTGGCTCTAGCTAGGGGGTTTAGACTTGCCATCTCCAGAGATCCTTTCCAACCCCGGCCATTCCGTGATTCTGTGATTCTGGTGGATTTCTGTAATGTAATCACTTTGTGGTCTTGCCTCGATAATGTGGAATGACTCAGCACAGTTTTTCTCCAAGCTTATATTGCATGTGGAGTTCGTCATAATATAGACTTCCGTTTCTTAGCCTTTAGCATGCACCATGGACAAGCACTAAAACCTAGCAAAGCCCACTTCAGAATACAAGTTCATACTTGGACACCTGGGTCTTGATTCAGGAAGATGTTTAACCCTTCCTAACTCTTCTTGATTTCTAAGAAACTAATGCAAGTTCTTGGAAGGTAGAATGTGTGTCTACAAGTACTTTGCCGAATCCATTAATAACAGCTTAAGTTCCCATCACACATCAGTCCCTGTTCAGGTTAATCATGTTTATGAAGTTCTTCAGAAATATAAAATTACTCATTGATCAAACAGCCATGGATAATCAAACATATTTAAAATATAAATTGCATTTCTGGATATTGTTATGTGCCAATGGCAGTTCTCTTTAGAATTGCTAAAACTCATACAATTATTTACTCATTATAAATTATTCACTTGTTTGTAATAAGCAAGTAGTCTTCACCACGATTCTTGGATTTGGTTCTTCTAAAGAAGACATATAAAGTGAAAATTGGAAGGATTCTGCTAAATGGCTATTATTGAGGCACTGTTTTCTATGTCAACCAGATTTGGAACTGAATATTTTGAAGAGATTTTATTAGATGCTAAAAACCAACAAAAAAAGAATGAATTTAATCTAAACCAGGGTTCATTTAGGAAAAATGGGAGCTGTGTCAACCCCACATCAAAGGGTGGAATATATTCAAAAGACTGCTCAGGCGAAGTTCTGGACTGACAGAGAAATCAAGTTAGAGAGAAATTTATTATGCGATTAAGACTGTAAAAATACTGTTTAATTTAAGCCCATAAACATCCAAGTATTTGCTTCCTAAAACTGGGTGGTAATGGATCCTTCTATATCCTGTCTGGGTCCACATATACAAAATTAGAAGGTTCCATTCTTTCTGAGGAATGATGGTAATGGAATGATAAAGGAACATTAAAAAAGAGAGACAAAGACATATTACATGTAAGAACCAAAACAGGACATGGTAAATGGTACAGAATGGCCTCATTGCAGGTGTGTGGCAACCACATTCGGCCCTTCAGGAGTCACGCAACACCGCTTGATTGGCTCCCACCCATGGAGATAGTCTGGAGATACTGCATCTCTGGAGATACAGCTCCCTTAGTGGGGCCAAGCCTTAAGAAATCAATTTATATCAGTTGATGACCTTTCTTGATAGGATAAATGTTGCCCAAATTAGTCCCTTTCTTTGCCAAGCTTTTAGACACACATTACTGTATAGAGATGTGGGAGCTGCCATCTATGCAGTGTGAAGATGGGAACAGAACCTAAGCATTGGGCAAGATGTGATGTTATCCTCAAAGAAACCTATTTCTTGGTTTCAATTTCATTTGACTATCCTTGTGTAGAGGTATATAAAAAGTATTTTCTTCAGTTTAAAAATGGAATTAAATAATGCCCTACGCTACATGAGGCTTTAGGCTTATATCCTCAGATATATCTGTCTTTGTAAATTTAGTGCCTGAATAGCGAATCCACACTTTACACTTTGGATCAGAAATGCCCATTTTCTTTGTTCAGGCACTCTTTTTTGAGTCAGCTGCTCAGGTGGAAGTGTCAGCATCACCCCAATGGAAGCTGCCACTTCTGCAATTCTGCTGGCAGAGAGGTTTTCCAATATGCTGTAGGCAAAACTAGCTGGCATAACACAAACCCAAGCCATGTGGTTTACATGTGTAAACCTGGATGATCTTCCTTGAGGTGGTGTTAAGCACCTTGGGGATGTTAACGTCATCATCTGGCTTAGGTCAGCACAGTGTTCAGCTGTAAGGCATGGCACTGGCACGCTGACTGCAATGACTCGCCTGCACCTGGCCTTCAAGGTCCAAATTGGAAAAATGTGCAAGAAGAATTGACACTTTAAAAATGTTGAAAGAGAACCAAGAAAAAAGTAATCTATAGTATGATTGGGGAGAAAGGATAAATAAAATAAAAACTCTGTTGAAACACGGAAGTGCCTTCTATTATTTCAATTTTGTTTATTCTGACCTTATGGGTCCTTTTATAAACAATTTGAAACCATCATTCTAGGGACTATGGTGTGCTTTTATTCTCACAGGGCAGCTAGTTGTCCCAGGAGATTTGCAGTAAGACCTTTTCTCATTCCTGACTCAGGCAGGCTCCCTTCCTCATCATACTAATAACTGTTCATAACATGAGGAGAAGTTTTGCTCAAGAGATTTCACAGACTGTCTATAAGACACTGGCAGCATGGCTGGAATTCACAGTGTAACAGGCAGAGCACAGAATCCTGTTGAGGGTATGTGACCGTGTCAGCAGGAGGGCTAGTTAGAAAAAGGATTAGTGTGCCTCAGGACCTACTCTCAAACAGCCTGCACAGAGCTGTATTTGCAGTTTTTGGCCATCTCCCGGACAAAATGGTGGTGATTTTGATCCTCACCCCTACCCACCTTCAATACTTGTATTTGATTTCCTGGTGATTTTTAAAGACTATTTCATACTAAATTTGAAAAATAAGTGTGCTTTTTTTGGGTGTAATTGTCAGAGGTCGGAACTGTGAAATTCAAAACTCTGAAAGACAATAAATGCAGAGTTTTCACACTCACCAAGCAAAATATCCATTTCAGTGGAAGCCAGGCAGTATTACACATACTTTAAATTAGGGTAATGTAACAAACACAAAAGCAAAATACAGCCAGAAAACAAAGGAGTGGAAGATTCAGAAACAGCTCAGCTACCAGCAATCATCCACCCCCTAAAATTTATTAAATTGTAGCTTCAAACTAGCTTTTGTCTTCTCTGTCAATATCTTTTTTCTAGGTGTACATATATAGCCACCTCCATGGCCTCAGGACTCAAAAAATCATGGAATACCGTGTCTCTCCATTGTCAGCAGGAACCAGATAGGACAGAGGTGTTCTGCACACACGGTGTAAAAGAAGCTCAGGTTTCCACAGCTAGCTCTCCACTGCTATTAACCCGAGTCCCCACTGTATTCCAGCCTTGGTGGCAAGGGCAGCCAGTTTCCACATGGATTGCGGGATCCTCATTCCCTGATGGAGGGCAGACCCACACATGGTTGAATCAGACACCTCTGCCATCCATCTCCTGCAGGTGCACATACAATCAGCCCACAGCATGTGTGCTGAAACACTCCCAAGTTACCTGCCCTGCCAGCCAACAGGCTCCCACAGACTGAGGAGGGCTGCTGAGTCCTTGGGTTGGGAACCCGCTGTTCCCACCCTATGGGAAGCTAAAAGCCTGATATATTGCTATCTATTCAGCTTCGGTACACAACCATCTTTAGACAGGGTGACTCATCAGTGGTCTGCTGTGACTTCTGCTCAAATTCTATTTGGTGTCCTTTTATTTAAGAAAAGAACTTCTCAACCTTGAAGACTGATTTGATTTCTTGAAAATACAATTTTCTTTTTTTTTTTCTTTGCCCTTCTGCTAATATTTGCTGTTGTAATGGACCGGCAATGTAAAAGTGATTGTTAGAGCAGGTACTGAGCTAAAAGACAGCAAAATACAACTGACTTCATAGCACCTTCCAGCCTTTCCTATAATCACAAATACACATGATTATCATATCTGTAAAGAGCTTGTTGCTTTTTTTTTCCTTTTATCTGGTTGCTCTTAGGGCTCTGGGACCTCAAATAACATGGCATAAAAGAATGAGGCACAAAACCTGAAGGTGAATCATAAATAGGTCAGATTCTAAGTTACAGTCAGCACTCCAAACCTTGAGCTCTGACATAATTATTTGCAGCAAATCAAAGTGTTACTGTTCCCAGCTGTCTACACTGCATCTCTGCCAGAAGTTGCTACTCCCATGGTGGAGTGAGAGATGCACATGTGCCAACACCACAGCCTAGTGTGTTCCTCAGAGTTTTAATTGGGGGGTGGAAGGCAGAGCACGGTTACTCCTTAACCTACAGCAGATTAAACCACTTGAGCTTATGATTCGAAGTCCACATATCCCAACTGAACCTCACAGGTAGTGCGAAATGGCCTTCAAGGCTTCATTACAATTACAGGAGCAGTGCTACTGTACCTCAGTGCAAAAGAGATCCCTGATCCATTTAGAAATGTATTTTTGTAACCTCAGCTTTACAGATTCAAAAGAAATCCAGCTATGCAGTGACTGAAACTGCTATAGTCGTGTAGAGGATTCATACCCACCTTGCATGAGGTGGTTAGAAGTATCTGGAGGAAAGCCAACAAATATTTTTTGTTACAAGACACAAGTGAATTGGATATATTTTCTTTAAAAGTTGTCAGATCTCTAGTGTCAAATCTCTGTGTTTCTTGCCTTCACTTTTTGAACAAAAACTTAAAATCAATTCTCCATATATTTGGTGTGCTTTTAAGGTGCATTAAAAAAAGGTTGCATGGTTTCCTCAGTTTCTTGAAGCTTTTGTAAGTATCTACCAGCTTGATGTCAGAAGAAAATGCATGTGTTCCTCTTTCTACAAAAATGATTGATTGCTTCAAGTGGATAATGGATTTGACTTAGTAGTCAATTGACCAGTCCTGTATTCAGTCTGATTGATGATTTTACCTTTCTTTCCTGGTGAAGTGAAGCAGACAAGTGTCTCTTTTGTTGCTGTGGGGGCTCCAAGGCCTAATGTAGCCTTTTAGTTAGGTAATTTCGCCACTGAGACAGGAAAAATGGGTCTTTACCATCAATATGTGCAGGTACAAATGAAAGACAAAGAGTTCATGAAGTTAGATGCTGAATAAAGGCTGGAGGATAGATGACTTGAATCAAATTGAGCTCTCATTTTTGCAGACAGGCAGAGCACCCACAGGCCTTTTTGTTCCTGCATCTCAGAATCATAGAATCAACAGAATCATCGAAGTCAGAAGAGACCTTTGAGATCATCAAATCCTATTGTCAGCCCACCACTACCACTGTAACCCTTAAACCACATCACCCAAAACCAGATTTAGAGGCCTCTTGAACACCTCCAGGGATGGTGACTCCAGCACCTTTCTGTTTACTTAACATTGGAAAGGACAGCACAATCACCTATCTTCTGTGATGCTTGGGAAATCAGTTACCAAAATTGCTAGGAAGCCAAAAAGTCTGGAAACATCATATTCACAGGTTCCTGCATACATACATACATCTCAGATGGTTTTGGGGATGCTGAACCAAAGCCTAATTGTCTATACAGACATCAGTTTGAAAGCTGAGGCCTAAGGGGCATTCAAAGTTCAGGTGGTCCTCTGTGCCTGAATGGAGTCAGTGGCTGAGTACAGTGTTAGCATGGCATTTGGCAGCACCTACAGAAAAACAAGACACACCTATGACAAGCTGCTGAATGGTGGAAAGATAGTCACCTTTTAATGACAGTGCAATCATATTCTACTTTATATCACAATCACTTTAGAAAATGTGGCCAGTTACTGGGTCACTTGGACAACACTAAAAAGCGTATCCAGAAACAAACCAGCTTTCTGTGTGGCTAACACTGAGCTGAAGTAGAAGGTCATAATGAATATTAAATACCCATTTCTTCAGTATGAAGAACATGAAGGTTCTAATTTCTGTGTGTTCTCTTTGCATTGATGCAGGAGTGTGAAGAGGGTGTAAATATAATGCACAACCAATATAAAGCTGCAATATATTGTCAGGGTGATGCAAAAGGGTATTTTAGCTGAATAAATGGTTGCCTTGAGATTTTATTATTGTACTTACAGTAGAAATACAGCCAAAGGATTAAAAATCATCCTGAGATGCAATTCTTCTGTGCTTGGTGGAAATCCAGGTAGCATAGCCCCAGTCCCACAACAGACCTTGTTTCTGTCTTGTGCATTTCCAAGCTGGAAATCCTCACTGAATGGCTCAAACCCATTCCTAGCTCAGATGAATACAGCAAGAGGCTTCCCTCCTATTGCAATGGCAAAAAGAAGGGGTGAGGTCTACCCTTTGAGATACAGGTTTGCTGGGGACACAAGTATGAAAGAGAAAGTATTTTTGAATTAAAGGTACCCTTTTGGATAGTGTATCAAAATTCTGCCTGCTGGCTCCTTTCCCTGCTTTCATTTTGATATGCCCCGTGGCCCTATCAGACCCACAAGACACTGACAGCTCTGCATTTCATGTTCAGTGCTCTTAAATGATTCGGCCTACTCAGGCATCATGCCATGATGGACATGGTTTTACCTTTCTCAGAGACACATGGTAAGGACAACCTGTGAAGAGCTTTGAGATCCAGAGCAGGAAAACAAAAACACTGTAAAAACACTTGCATAGTGTTTTCTTTATAACCACTTGTACATGTCCGGATGTTGGATTGCTCCAGCCTTATTCCCCATTATAGCTGATGACAATTTGGCTAGATCAGTAGGGGTTTTACCTCATATTCCTGGCGGGGCAGGCTCCAGAGAAGAGTTGAGAAAGGGAAACCCTTTGAATCTTTGGGACATCACATCATAACTGTCTTCTTCAGAGCACAGTTCTCCCTGCTGGGCAGCAGCCTGCTGATCCCTAGGGAACAAGGACACTGATTTTAACAAGCAAAACAGTGTCAGTTAGAGCCTCTTATGACAGGAAGCAGGATTTTAAATTTCTTTTATATATATATATATTTTTTTTTACGTACTCTTTTCCTCTTCCTGTTTTTAGAGAGTAGGAAGAAGTGATTGAAAGTGAAGCCTGGAAACAGCTGGCTTCTCTTTTAGGTCACAGAATTATCCAAACTGTTTGCAAACTCAGGTCTGTAAAGCTAACAAATGGAGAGTCACTAAGTCCACCGTATACTTTAGGTTTCATTTGACGCCCACATGCTGAAACTACCTCACTTGCATCTGCTGATACAGAGAGATCCTTGCTGGAGTGAAGTATCACCCTTGTACTGCTTGTCTGAACACGCTGATTTCTACTTCTGGAAAACTTTTCTTCAGCTTTGGGCACCATGACATCTATGACTCCTTCTCCCACTTGCTTGAGCATGAGTGAAGCCACTTGCAAGTTCCCTTTACATGTTTCTGTAACGAGGTGTTATCTTTGTAAGAGACGGACTTAGCAGAGCAAGGCACGTGGAAGAGAAAGCAAACACTATGGCTATGTGTTTCCATAACCTCCAGCACTGCATCCTGTAGTCAACATAATCTTTGACTTAGGAGAAAATAAACCCAGGAGGAGAAAAAGTATTCTCTAAAAAGAATTGGTGGGGGGTATATGTGACTGTCTCACTTCTTTAGATGCTCTTTATACCTGTGCATGTGGTGATTACAGTGAGTGTTAAGATTAAGCACATTTAAGAGTTATGATGTATGCTGGAGGCTTCCACTATAATGCCATATTGGTTTAGGCTGGCTAAAGGTTTTCAGATATCTTAACTTTTCCAATGCAACCAATTTCTTCAGCATGGTTATTTTAGCTGCATTACTTACACATCTGCAGTATGACAGTTCTCAAGGCCTATCCAAACCTGTGCTGTTATGATCTGGGATTTACAACATGTGTAGGAGAATGTTGCAGAAATCCATCCCTTAGCTTCACTGACTTTAAGATGTACCAATGATCCTAATGATGCAGCTTGTGAGGGACAAAACTCTCCAGCAAAAACCTGCAACCTGGAAGACAAGGCACAGCAGATGAATTTCAACTGTCAGATGATCAGAGAGAAAAGGCAGCACAAATAAAGCGAGCTTTAGAATGGCCTGGCCCCTGTACTACGTGGGCCTATCTGTATTTAATCTTTGTGACAGTTATGGTAAGAGTTTGTGTAAATGGAAGCACCAACATGGAAAAACTGTCCCTGGCACAGTTAAGGAGTTTCTCAATAGGTTCTTCTTAGGTTTCATTTGTTAAACCAACAGCATCTATCCATTAACAAATGCCATCTTAATAAGAAATCCTCACAGGGAGAAGGAAACATGCCGTTCTGGATTGTGTGGCTATAACTTCCAGCCACAACCAGATCAGCCAGGACATCAGTATTAAAAGGACTCCTCAATGGTCTCTGAAGCAGTTCTTTCTGGTGGAACTAATGTTGGGGCAGGCTCTCAGAAAAGTTACCAGATGTCTCATACTAACATACAATAAATGAAACACGTCTCCATTTTGTTTTGTTTTGTTTTGTTTTGTTTTTTTCAAAACTTCACCTCTAAGTTGGAGAGAACTTTTTTATACAGTACTTGTCATGCATTTGGCAGGATTTGGGGGGTTTGCATGTCTATCTTTCAATATATCCACTCAGCTAAAATGCATTATTTGTAGTTTTGGTCCACGAAAACAATCAAGGTCTAAACACAAAAAATTGCACTGTGAGACTGCCTTAAGATAGAGAAAATCAGGCTCTGGTCTGATTGAAGAAAACCTAGGTCTTCTGACATGTAGTTTTAGAACATGGCCCTACTGAGATCATCTGTTTCCCCTTTCCTTTAGGGAAAAGGTAGACATATGTCCTGAGCAGCATGTACTACCTGAAAAGGTGATCTCCTTCTCTTACATGTAAAGGCCTGCACGGATCTGGACTTGCAGGTGGCACTGGAAGCTGAGGAGGGGTGTGAGGGACATGGGACACTGCTCCTTCCTTCTCCACTCTAGTGAGAGATCTCTGCAGAAAGGAGGATCAGCAGGCTTTGGTTCTACCCTGATCTCCCTCTGCCTCACCCTGCCCCCAGCCTTTTTACACACCAGCAATCCAGGAAGGACCAAGGCATCCATTTGTGATGAACAGAGGGAAGGTCCTACAAAACCATTCAGTCAGGTAATGAGGTGCATAGTGTTGAGGAGGTAAAAGACAAAGACATACGTGGCACTATACAGAATTGCCTGAAACATCCCCAGGCAAAATTAATTTAGTACTTATTGCAACAGCAACAACAAAAGGGAAATTCCTAGAATGTTTAACAAAAAGAAGAAAATTATAATTTCTATAATTTTTACCTAATATAATTTTCAAAAGCCCAAACAAAACAGTAGAAAATGGGTTGTTACATGTATTTACTGAAATTAAATATTTGGCTTTGTATTAATTAAATATTTTGACTGCCTACCTATCTTAAATTTTTGGTGAACATACTTAGCTGTGCTATCACTGAACACTGTGAACCTTCTAAATAATAATAATAACAACAATAACTATTATTATTATTATTGTTATTGTTATTATTGTTGTTATTATTATTGTTATTATTATTATTATTGGAACCTTCTAAATCCAGAAATGGCTATTGTTAGACACTGACAGATTTTCCAGCATACTGAGAGGCACCATTGCAGACAAGCAGCTCACTTCATAAGGGGTCTAAGGAAAGACAGGAGTTCACAGGAAAAACCCATAAGCTGTAGTCATGGAAAACAGGCTGAATGATAATTGCAAGATTGGTGTGGTTGAAATAAGCAGAAAATCCCCAGTTTTCTTGATGGGTACTGACAGAATAGCAGAGTGAGCATGCATTTGTTCTTGTTTCACCCAACAGTTTGACCCGCTGCAGCTGAGAAGCACCAAATTCACAATTATCTGTGTGCAGTCTCCACTGTCACATTTTTGCTCACTATCTGGTGGGGACAGGGCAGAGGACATGCCTCTGTCATTGAAAATTCTCTGGACAAATTAAGCTCTGCACATGTTATTACCCAAGTGAGAGCCTGTCCACAGGAAAGAGAAAGCTTATTTCAATGTCATCATTAATTCAGCTGTGCAGATCCATTGCGTGCTTGGTATGGGTGCTGCCCACGTTTGGTCTTTTGTGTTGTAAAGTGAAATAACTAAGTGATGCTGCCTGTGAAAAGCCACTAAACAGAGATGTCACTGTGACCGACACAGGCTTCTGATTTCCATGAGTTTTCAATTAATGATAAAGCTGTACTTGTTATTTTAACTCAGTTCTTCAAGTTCTATCTTGGCCATCTGTTTTATGAACAAATGCAGCAATCGTCCAGATCAAGGGAAAATGTGACTGCTAGAGCTGCTTGCTCTTCCAACAGGTCTTATTCAGATAACAAAACTTGTCTGGTTTAAAGGCATCGCTGTGACCTTTATGAATGAGTAACTCACACTTAGGAAGTGCAGTCATTACACAAAGAGCCTAGATAACAGGATAACAAGTCCTATGGTTTAGCAAGGCAATCCAAGGAAAATTTTAAAATCACTCTAGAAAGCAATTCCTTAGTCTATTTAATTGATATATGGCTTGTATGGAGAAGTTAAATCTTGTATCAGAGCAGCTCATATATGAAAAAATACAGTGAACTTTTCCAGACCATTTTTTCTCTAGCTCATCAGTTTTTTCCAACAGTATCAATTGTTTCAATTAAGAGATGGTAACTCTCCCTTCCAGCATTGACCCACTTCTACCCCTAATGACCATTGTTACAACACAGTCCTACCAATTTGTCCATCTGATATTTTCTGAAGTATTTTGTGACATGATCTACAACATATTTTGTGATGCAAACTAGCATTAATATTACTATTTTATCAGCTTACATTTAGAAGTTCTATTGAAGGAACTGTAAGATTATAAAGTCAAAATCTAGGAATTATTTTTGTGACTATAATCTGTCTGTTCAACTTCCTACGGAGTGGCCTTCATGGTACAGTCAGAAGTGACACTTTTTTCCCTTGTGACTTCTTCATCCACTACAACTCTTGACTTTCAGGCTTCTTAGGTTGGATCCAGTATTCATCTCTAGAGAAAGACATTTCAGGAATTTACTGATGCTTTCCTTACAAAAGAATACTACAGCTTAATCTTACTTCAGTAATTCAGAAATCTGGCTCTGATTGCTGGTGAGAGGAAATTAAACCTCACTTACAAGAGACTTTGAGTATCAAAAATTGGCTTAGCTTGTGGGTATTGCTTAAAGCACTAGGCAAGTTTTCCATGCTTTGAAGAAAACAGAGTATCAGTTCTTCAGATAAAGGGTTAAACAGTATTGAGTTGGAGACCATTTAATGGAAAGTACAGAAGAGTGTGTAAAAGGCAATTGAATGGATTATGTTCTCTACACTGTGCCCAGAAATTTAAAAATTAGATGTGGAATGCCCTTGCTTTTAATTCTTAAAATTAATTTCTCAAAATTTAATTCCTTAAAACATTACGTTTTAGTGTGGATTTTAATCAGTCACATTGCCAGCAAAGTGTTGTTTTTCTAAGGGCTCAAAGGCTTCTGAGGCTATCAAGAGAGTGTTTTATCCTATGGCATAAGGGATGATTGCACTGGTTATAAATTAATTTACTTTTAAGATATTAAAAATATTCTTTCACTGACTACCTGCAGAAGTAAGAATCCAAAATGGAATCTTGAGTGCAGTTCTAGGTGCCATCGTTCACTCACATCACAGGCATTTCAGCTATGCACATCAATAATCACACAAAATAGGCAGGGGGTGACATGAATTAATATATACAGGTTTGTTAGGTAGTTTGGAAGTTATTCATTTTGTTTAAGCAAAGATTTTTCAAAACAACACCAAATATATGTAAAAAGAGGAATTTATTTTTTTTCACCTAAAGGGCTGGAGTTTGTGTGCAGGGAGGCTGCACCATTTGTGCTTTTGACCCACCGCA